ATTCTTACTATTCTTTAGACTATGATTTCGTCCATTTCTTATGGCTCAAAGGCTTAAACCACCTATTGTAGATTAGGACTTACGCTGCATGTGACGGCACCCTTACGATAAATGGGGAGGCAGTCTAGTATGGGACGCATTTTATATTATTAGTGTCAATTGAAACACATCTTTAGAAAAACGTAAATATACTCATGAAAATTGGATTTAAATAGAATTAATCTGAATAATTCAAGATTAGCTCATATAAATTTCATGTATACATATTGTTTTATTTGATTTTATTGTTTGCCTCTCAAACTCCTACACTGTGACAAGATTGAAGAAATAATAGTGTATTGTAATTACGAACTCGAAAAAAATTATCTCCGTAATCTCGCTATCACAATTATTAGACGAACGAAACGCAGAAAAATGGCGGATCAGAGCGACAGGAGTCAATTACCACCCGGCTGGGAATGCAGATATGATGTTCGCAGCGGTCGTCCGTATGTAAATTGCACTTTTATATGTTTTATTTTATTTCGTTTATTATTAAAAAATAGAAAATTTATTATATATATATATATGTGTGTGTGTGTGTATATATATGTATATATATTTATAACAAATTTCCTAAAACCAAACCTTATCGATAAATCTGTATTCTACAAAAAAGTAAACAAATATAGTATAAATCTCGATATTTCGTCATTATTCTTGAAATAAATGGTCAAATTATAAATATATCTATTAAAAAAGACAACGATATTGATGGTATGTACAATATATTATGCACATTTGTGCATAGAAAGATGTTTTGTGCTTGAAGCTTTGCTCTAATAAACATGCTTAGTTAAAAATACTTATAGAAAATCGATTTGCATGATATCAGATCTTTTCATGTGTGAAACAATAAATTAAATTGTCGTGTTATGTTTTCCAGATATTTCATAAATCATTTCAATCGTACTACAACATGGGAAGACCCAAGAGTGAGATATTGGCAATATTCTCAATATATACAATCCCAGAATTCAATGGCAATGAGTTCAGCCACTACTACCACTTCTCAAGATATTCCTATGCAGGTTAGCTATAATAGTTAATTGAATTTTTTTTCTTCTTTTTTTCTTCTGTACATGTGTATGTGTGTGTGTGTGTGTGTGTGTGTGTAATATGTATACATATACATACACATACAATGCGCGCGCGTGCCTGTATGTCAAGTGTGCATATATACACACACACAACACACATTGTATGTGTGCGCGCGCGCGCGTGTGTGTATGTATGATGTGTATATATGCATGCACACGTACCATACATATATACATACAGGGTATCCCAAAAAATTCGGAATTCCTGAATATCTAAAAAAATATAAGATTAAAAATATAATTTTACAGATATATAATTTTATAGATATTTACAAGTGAGATGTTTTTAAAAAAAATATTTTATGATGTTATAAAATTAAACATCTTCTTTTATTAGTGAAAAAAGACAGTTTATTTAAAAAATGTTTAATAAAATAAAGCTTTATTAACAGATATGCCACATTAGATTTTTCTTATATTTCTTCTATTTTTTTATATATTTTTATATTGTTTCATTTTTCTAAATTTTTAAATTATTTACAATATTAAAAATATGAATAAGTATAAATATTCATAGCATAAATCTTATGAATATAAATAGTGTAAAAGAAAGAAAAATAAAATTTTTTAAATAAAATTTTATGTAGAAATAATATTTTCTTCATTAAAATAATTATGTGATTTTTTTAAGTAATAATAATAATTTGTAAAAGTTCTATTACGTACATGCATAAAAACTAATAATATTCTTCACTTTCATGTAATATTTGCATTTTTTCTTATATTCATTGTTATAGCGAAAGGATTAACATATAGCTTTAATCAAAAGTATTAGGCATCTATATTTTCTTTATTTGTCTGGAATTTTTTCATCTGTATGTTTTATTGGCATTTAAAAAATTATATCTTTTAATTCGAGAACTGTTTAAACTCTTATGTATAATACTAATAACTAATAGAAGACAATATAGATAAAATAATTTTAAAAAAATAAAGAAAGTATAGGTGTCTAATATTTTTGGTTGTATTCAAGGTTGTATATAGTACCATGAAATAATAATAATAACTCAAAAAGCATTTTATATTACATCTTATTTAAATGAAATATTTATATAAATATTGTATCTGATATATACTTATATCTTTTTATACATACAAAGATGTTCTATTTTGATTTTAATACATCATTTATGCATGTGTTCATGTTCAAATGTGTTTTATGATATGTATGTATATGTATGCGTATATGCGTATGTGTGTATGTTAAATTTTATATATATATACATACACATATATTTTTTTGTGATATGCACATGCTGCATTTGGATAACGCACACAATATATTACAAATAAATAGACTGGAGGAAGCGGAAGTGGACACTTAAGTTATACAGGCGCTCACAAAGCTCCGCAAATTTATCCGACACCGTCCCTTTATCATAATCCACAACTAGCATTTTTAACTCCCAGCGCACAGGTAAATAATTACATTAAATATCACCCTTGTAAATGCATGTTTTTTCATTAATAATTTAGTTTTACCATTTTATTAATAGGCTTATTTTGCGACATAGTTATATATACATACACATATATGTGGACATACGTGCATATAGAGTATCTCATAATTCGCAGATCACAAGAAAGCTGATTTGCAAATTATAAGATTTCTTGTACACGTATATAAATCTGTGTGTGTGTGTGTGTGTGTGTGTGTGTGTGTGTGTGTGTTTTAATGTTCTTGCAATTATTATATAATTAAAATTATATGTGTGTACAGGAGTTGAAAACACCACTTTCATTGAAGTCCACCAGTGCAGTGACAACTCGATTTGGTGATTTGACCTTAGGATCTCCAACTCCAGTAAGAAATACAGAGACAAGTTTTACTCAAAATTCCGATTTTGAGTCTCAAGTGGCAAAAATCAATGCTGTATTCCCGACAGTTTCGGACACACATATTCGTCTTTTGTTAAAGAAGTAAGTTTCTTACGCAAATTATTTATTAATGACATTTTTTGAAATTTACACTGTTTAATCGTTTTTCTTTAATATTAATATCAGTATTAATATTTACATGGAATATGAAACACTATCATATATACAAGAAATTATTGAGCGTTCAAGTTTCTTTGGTTCAAACTATCCAAGTATATATACTATCCAAATATAACTATCCATTTCCTGTCCATTTCCCTAAATAGCACTATATCAGATTTGGTGCTAAGTCGACAGCCAATATCTTTCAGATATCATAACAGAGCAGCTTTGGTCATGAGTGCTCTCCAAGTGGAAAAGAATCCTCTTTGTGCTCCAGGACCATGTACACCTGTAGGAGTGCATTCAAATTATGCAATCCCGAGATGGCGTCTACCAGCTCACGCTATACATGCAGCATTAACATTGAGTCCACCTCGTGGGGTTCGGCCAGCCCCTAACTCCCCAAAAATGAAACTTAGGTTTTACCCAAATATTAATAGTTTCAGTCTCTTTCACCCAGTCTGGATGCTAGATGTTAATATTGTATTTTGTGATAGTTTCATGGAAGTATATCAGTCAAGGAGCATTGCCTTTTTTGCATTGTTATAATTGTCTGGTATATTTCACGCATACACACAACATTATCAGTATTATATAGCGATAGCATGTATGGAATCATGAATTTCTTTCAATTACAATTAGATATTAAGTACTAGAGGTGCGATTATTTATATACGTATGTATACACTCACATATAACATGCACGCGTGCAAAATTCACACACACACACACACACACACACACACACATACACACACACAATTAAATGATTCTTCAAGATAATTTATCATGCACGGTAGCAAATATTATATAATGTAGATTAATAAGCAAATTTCTATATTATTATTTTTGTTTATTTTATTATACTTTTGTTCTTAAGAAGAAATTTTCTTGAGAAGAAAGAAAAAATGTTTTATTATATCGATTAATATATCCCATTTTTTAACATTTATTATTTGGATTTTATCTTTCAGTTTCTTCCTGGTTTGCACTAATATAGATGTTGGATAGAAATTTACGCTATCTAGAATAGGTTAGTTTTTGTTTCATATTACTTTGTCTGTTTTATTTTTATTTGTTATTTAATGGCAGAAATCAAAAGCTTACATTGTTAATTAGATGTCATTGTTATGTTGATTGTATCGTTAAAGATTTTAAAGGAATAAAAGAGTTTTTATATGTATTTTTATATAAAAATCTATAATAAATGCAATTTTTATACATTATTATAATTAAATACACATTAATAATATTTTCTTCAAATATAAAATTTAAACGTTTAATACAAGATATATCACATAAAATGTTATGAATTTTTCATAAGACAAATAACGAGGATTAAAAATAACGAGGAAATTCTATTTGCAATTGTAATAGTTTATTGAAGCCTATGACATAACACATAGGATATTTTCATCTTTTCAAAAGGGACAAAAGAGACAGTAACAATAAAATTTTTTTAATGAAATTATATAATGTTTTTGAATAATATGATTTTTCTAGTTATTCTGCATAAAAAAGTATTAAAGTAACATATAAAAGTTATTAAATAATCATACAGTTAATCATTAATTTGTTTTTGATCCAAGAACAAATCAAAATCATTATCTCTTTTCCTTTTTGGGAATTAAACAGCTTTGGTTTGAAAAATTGTTTTTGTGTCTTTAACTTTCGAATCATTTATCTAAGCAAAATTTAATGAATCTTATATGTAGTAAGATAAGAAACTCGTTTATTCCAAAGTAAAGTAAAATTTAAGCATGATAGTATGTGCACGTGCATTGTATTCTAAAAATATTTGGATAAAAATAATTATATAAAATAAAACACATTGATTACATGAAAAAAGAGATAATTTTATTATGAATATTTTTAGATATGGAGCACATGTATATATCATACATAATGTTAATTATTGATTTTTTTATCTGTTAATTTATTAATTTACAGTTTTGAGATGTCAGAAACATTAATGTCATTCGATATATATATATAAAATTTACCAATTACCTATATTCGCCAGCTCTTTCTATTTTTTTATAAAATATAACTTACTTATACTATTAATAATTTAAATAAAAAGACATGATTCTTAAGTATTGTATAAGAATTTATTTTTGTTGAATGGGCGTATACTAGACATTAATGTTATGTACATAAATCACATTTAAATAAAATTATATTAGATTGTCATTGTCTTAGTAATAAGTTATAATGCGTTAAAAAATATACTATTAAGTCCATATCGTACGCAATGCAGTATGTTTGTATGTTGCATATAGCAGTAATACAGTTATGTTAAACATTTATATGTTTGAAATGTATGTACAGGTACCTGAAAAATGTATTTCCAAAAGTGGACGAAACGATATTGTTGGACGTGCTGGAACAAAGTGATAATAATGTACAGAAGGCATCCGAAAAATTGATTGATTTAGGATATGAAAAACGGAATCCTACTCTTCCTGCTAGAGCTTTAGCAAAAAAAAAAGAAGAGGAACGGGTAATAAATTTTATGCCATATCATATATTAGGTAGAACAATTAAAATAAAACATTTGAATATCTTCCGTGCATTTAAATATACAAAAAAATTATAAGAACAGAGGTTTATTTAATTCTTAAAAGAAAATATTTATATTATATTTATCTTAAAAAAAAATATTATAATATATTATAATATTTTCTTTTAAGTATGCTAACCAATATAAGATACATTGTAATACATAAAATAATCTTTTTTTTTTAGGTACAAGATGAACAAACTGCACCTACACCTCCTCCACGCATAAAAAGTTTAGAAGAGAAAAATAAATGTATGTATTCTAATATTTAAATTTTTATTTTATTTTCATATCGGATAATATAAATGCGAAATGAAAATGTTATAGTGAAAACCCGTTTAATGGAAAAATATAAGAATTTACCAGATCGTGTTGTAATGCTTGCTATGGATAGTGTAGACTATGATGAAGAAAGAGCAATGTATATATTAGATATAGTAATGGCAGAGGAAACTACTCGACCATTATGTACTTCTAGCAGCCAAAGGTAATGTTTTATTTTTCAACAATATAAAACAAAAATTATTTGTAAATATATAATCTATTTTTACCTTTCCTCACAAATTATTATGAAAATTATAGTAGTAAAAGTGATGAACGGAAAGATAGCCCTCCAGTAACAGAAGCTATAAAATTAACTGCTTCTCCGATTAAAAAGATAAGTAAAGATATGGAGACTGAGAAGTTGAAACGGTCCAAAAATAAGACTGAGATACCAAAGTAAGATTTTGTTAAAAGTATAATCATATCTTTTAAAATAACTAAAATAAACTTTGTTTTTACACATATATATATATATATATATATATATATATATATATTTATTATATTATA